AGTTGGTGTATATGGGGATCAGGGGGGTATTGGGTTAGGTCTGTAGGTTGTCAGTCGGGGGAAGGGAGGTCACGGGATGGAATAATGGACAAGTCGTTTCCATGGCGTCATACATGTTTCCTGTCCTTACTGCTAACCATCGTCATTGTGCTAATGTTCTGGTATGGTGGTAGACTGCACCAGCGCGTCCCTCTTTTATGCTGTGGTCACGCATGGTTATTTCCAAATGCCGCCATGTTGCAAGAGAAGTGGCTGGCAAGTTGCAGGGGAATGCTGCCCCGGCTGTCTCATTGTCTTTTATAATTAAGCAGAAGGCAAATTATTCTGACCCGGAGCCGATCCCAAACCTCCCACTGCCGTATTCTACAATCTACGGCCCAGTATGTGAACAGCCTAAACAAGTCCAAACTCCAGTTACTCTGCCATGCACACGCTTCATAAAGAAAACAAAACCCTTCCTTTACCTTCCCTGACTGAGCGAAGGCTCCTTCATTTGTGTCTCACACACTCACCCTCCCAGACGCTGCAGCTCACAGTGGGAGGGTTTCATCATTAGCGGCAGTGCTGTCAATCCAGAAAGCAGTGGGCGGGGCTAGGTGTGGCCAGGTGCTGACTGATCAGCTAGACTCAGCTCCTAATTATCTTTGACAATTCTGATAGCCCCGTCTTCTCATCCCACTGAGGTGCCAGCAGACACAGCCTACATAAGTGACAACCCTGCTCTGAATTTGGGAGCGGTGCAGCATTGTTGCCACCCCACCACAGGAAGCTGCATTAGGTCACTTCACTGGCAGTATTTTTTTTTGTATTGATGGTTCTTAGTTATACTGTAAACATAAACTGTCCAGGACCCGAACACGATAGCAGGAAACCTGTAGGAACACGACCCATTGCAGGACCTCAGCGGGTTAGTGAGCCGTCATTTAAGGCGCTGTGTCACCAATTGTAGAGCGGTCAGTCACAGCAGAGATACGTCTGAGCTAATCTGAAATATTTTCACTCAGTGAATCTGTCATTGAAATGCAAAATGGCCATTGCTGACGACTTCTAGAAGTTACTAGCTCCTTGACTGTCAGGTCGATCCTCTGTTTTCTGTCTTGAGTCGGTGATCTCCCATTGGTGTTCAGGATTGGGAGTTGTGGTTTCACTGGGCTCATTGGATCAGACCTTTGCAGACACCTCTGAGCTGCCCATTGCTGGGGTGAGGAATCATTCATCTGTAATGGGTTGTCACCGCCACAAGGCACCAACCAGTTCCGGGCATGCTGAGTGCGTCCCTATCCTATCTTTGGCCAGTTATAGATATTTGCAGCAGTGAGTATTGGATTCATAGAATAAAGCAGAACTCCGGGAACAGTCTTTTATATGTACATACGGTGGTCCGGCCCGGCTCAATGTAAATATTGGAATCTGATCTCTGGGGGGCTGTGCTGAAAATCCTTGTAGTAGTTGGAGCGCTGCTTCTTCTGTGGGTTCTCCTTTACACACGGAGCACCACCGCCATTCAGAGAACGCCCATTTCCTCTTTATGCTCCAGGCCGGTGAGCTCATGTGATCTGTCCTGGAGGATTCCAGGAAAAAGAATTATCAGGAAAATACCTCCAGCTTTTTATTGAATACAAGACATTCTCTGATTGGACGAGAAGGGGGATAAGTCCGGGCGCCTCCGGCCTCCTTCGTCCGGGCGCCTCCGGCCTCCTTCGTCCGGGCGCCTCCGGCCTCCTTCGTCCGGGCGCCTCCGGCCTCCTTCGTCCGGGCGCCTCCGGCCTCCTTCGTCCGGGCGCCTCCGGCCTCCTTCGTCCGGGCGCCTCCGGCCTCCTTCGTC